GTTTTGAATATGTCACTTCTCTGAGTTCTTAAGAACTATGTGAATTGTGGGAATAATCATTTCTAATCATTGTTAACTTTACTAGTGTATATACGAAATATGTCAGAACAAAAAACTGAACTGGTTGTCATGCAGGTAAGAACAATGAATGTTCACATCTAAAGTCAATAATGACTGTCTTCTATAGATTGTTTTTATTAATATCCTTGATGTGTTTTGATATCCACAAACATATTTGCATTTCAGAACCTGGATTCTGCTGTGGGGATCCAAATTCCAACACTCTCTCACATATCTGTATATCCATAATAAACTGGCAGGCAAGTCTGACAAGTAGCTGTAAGTAATAGGTGGTTTTTCTGGGGGGTTTTTTGTTTGAGCAGAAAGACTTTGTTCTGCTTTGCTAATTTACCTACTATTTCTACCAACTTCTAGAATATAAAAAGGCAAAGCTAAAACAATAGCACATTCTTACCCAGAGAGATGCCAGTTAAGAAACAAACTTGAGGTGCTCTACGGATGGAAAGCATTGGTGGCCATGAACAAAGATCATAATTGATATCATTAGCATCATTTTAGAAAGTGAAAACAATGATAATTCTGGTGACACAAAGCAAACTCCTCACACAATTAATTCAGGATTAATTCGGTAAAGCGAATGCCTTATAGAAGAACAAGCCTTTTCTATATTGAAAAAGGACCCCGTTGAGTTTGTAATTTTTACAGGCTAATGCATAAACTCAAAAGGATAAATAAAACAGGATACTAGACAGCAAGGGCAAAGTTTTGAAAGCAAGAAAGCAGAAAAGTAGCAATTGATTGAACACTCTGGGCAAAGGTAAATCCTAAACTGGCAGTGGGAAGAGTTGAAGAGCAATTCAGCTTACATCACAAAACTTTCAAAGGGCTCAGGAATTGGAAACTGGGGTGAAGGTAAAACTAAAAACCAGAGGGCTGACTGTAGGTCTGTGTAAGAAAAAGACTTCCTCATCCTCTTTCCAAAGCCCTGCTGCTAGACAACTGCAACTACCCCACACTGGTGCCTGCCCACATGTGTGTAATTGGCCTAATGAATGTATAGTGAACTGCGACAACTAATCTTACCTCCTTCGCCACTTTTTGGCAAATATATCAACCTTATTTTTATCTCAGATCTCCATTTAGTTGCTTTTCATGAGTACTGCCTTAAGTCATATTGTAGCAGCTACAGATTTGCTGAGCTTTACTTAGGGCACTGACATGCGTATTAAAATCTAGCCTATTCTGTGAAAGTGAAAGAACCTTTCATCCATCTACTAATTCATGCTCCACCTGAGAGAAACAGACATGTTAGACTGCAAGTCTTAGTTAGCTGAGAATATCTGAAAATCCACATATTAGGTCATTTAATAAACATTGGAGTGTCTGACATAATTTGGTGGAAGGAGACAGACACACAAACAGTTATAAATCAGAGTAACAAGTAGAAAAGCAGTGTTCTCATTTCAGCAAAATTCTACTTTATCTTGCAGGTTGTGTCTGGTTTATAGCAATATCGCATACACATGGAAAGCAGCATTCAGACAGAATGTTTGCTCCCTGGAAGAAAAAGGTGTCATAAATCTATGTGAGCACCTAATTTGTCTTTTCCAAAAAACACTACCACATATGATGTTATGATAACTTAACAAGCCATGAGGTAGAACTAGGCTGAATAATAGTTGACTTTTTTTATTATTAATAACAAACAATTCCGTACCTTAGTCCACTGCCACAGCACTCTGCCCACTGAGACTAAATTCATAATCATCTCACATATTTCAGGTTTGAACTTTCTACAAGGATCAAAGTATCCACAGCCAATAACTCCTGAAAGATAAGCAAGTTTGAAGGTACAAGCGACTTAAAGATTACAAAGTACATGTTTATGCCAGTGAATAAGTCATTACAAGGTTGACTAAGCTGAGTGATGTTAAGAATTTTTCTCAAGGGATTAGCTAAGACTGGGAGTCTGCAGTGGGGCCAGCCAAGCTTAGCATTCAGTGATGAGTACTTTATATGTATTAACTCATTTAAGCCTCCTAACACCCTATGATAAAGAATAAGAGGTAGATATTATCATGGTGATGTTAAGAATTTTTCTCAAGGGATTAGCTAAGACTGGGAGTCTGCAGTGGGGCCAGCCAAGCTTAGCATTCAGTGATGAGTACTTTATACGTATTAACTCATTTAAGCCTCCTAACACCCTATGATAAAGAATAAGAGGTAGATATTATCATTATCATCATCATCATCATCACCATTCTAATATGAGCCCAAGTTCACACAGCTTATATGCAGGCAAATCTGAGATTTGAACCCAGGCAACTTGCCTCTAGTGTCTGTAAATCAGCATTCACTCTGAAGTGTATGAGAGCTGGAAAAGAGCTTAGAGGCCACTCCCTCATCTTACAGAGAAGGGGGTCAGGCCCAGACAGGTAAAGCAAATTGTTCAAGGTCACATGGATTGGTTGCTGACCTGCAGTCAACATCCTGACCTGAGCTAGATACGTAACCAATTTTAGGGAACACCCAGCACACTGACTGACATAATCACCCTCAGGAAGGACTGAGTTGTGCAGGTTTATAGACTATTCTTAAAGTCTTAAAATGTCTTTGATTTAGACTATAGAAAGAGATTTATTCTACTTCACTCCAGTGAGACTATATATGAAGTAATATGTTCAGTTCTGAGCAAAGTATTTTTAGAGGAGTACGACTACGAATATCTGCTCAGGTTTTTGAAGGGTGGAGCATTCGAAAGAAACTGGGGTTCCTTTGCACAGACTGAAGAAGAATTGCCTTGGGGAAACATGAAATTGCCCTCCAAAGTTGTGGTTGGTTGTGCCAGATGCCTGTAAGGCCCCCTTGCTTCCTGAAATCCTATATTCTATATTTCCACCTTCCTGTGGGACAAATGTATTACAAGAAGCATGGGATCTGGAATCAGGAAATAGGGATTAGCGCCACAACTCTGCCATGCACCAGCTCAGTGGCCTTGACTGGGCGGTTATTTTACTTCTCCGAGCCTCAGTTCCTGGTTGGTTGGTTAGTTTTCCATATTTGTTAAAATATATCAATCATACTAAAGAGTGTGTCAAATAGCTTAACAAACAAGCAAACGTTCATGTACAGACCAGAGACTGAGAAATATATTGCCATGGTACATTAGAAACCCGTGTGCATTCCTGTTCACAACCTCTTCCTTCCTCCAGAGGGAGCTGCTACTCCACTTTGGTAATCTGTGACTTACTTTTCTTTATACCTTCACCACTTACGTTTCTAAACTTTAACTTCTTTCAACTTTTGAAATTTAATTTAATGGAATTATACATTTCTCTGTGATTCGCTTCTTACATTCAACGGTATGTTTCTGGGCTTCCTCCATGTCGAAGCACACAGCTGTGTTTGTTCATGTTCGCTGCCGCGTAGCATTACTTTATGTGCCTGTGCCACAATTTATCCAATTTTACTGGCAATAAATATTTAGGTTATTTCAAGTTTTTGCTATCATGAACAATGTTCTATGAACATTCTTGTATGTCTCTTGGTGTGCATGTGCAAAATCAACTACAGATGGATTGAGGACCTAAATATAGAAGGCAAAACCATACAGCATTTGAGAAAGAAAACATAGGAGGGGCTGGCCAGTTAGCTCAGTTGGCTACAGCACGGTGTTGATAACACCAAAGTCTAGGGTTCAATCCCTGTACTGGCCAGCTGCCAAAAAAAAAAGAAAGAAAGAAAGAAAATACAGGAGAATATCTCTATGACATCAGGTTAGAAAGGACTTCTTACGTGAGACTCAGAAAGAACAAACCATAAAGGAAAAAAAGGGTAAACTGGTATATACATAGGAGTGGAACTGCTTGGGATGTGCACATGTTCCACTTTACCAGCAATAATGGCAAGTTGTTATCCCAGCTGTAGCAATTTACGCTCCCACCAGCAGGGGACAAGAGCCTCAGTTGCTTCACATTCTCACCAACGCTTAATTTTGTCAGAATTTTTCATTTTTGCAAATCTAGTGGGTACAAAAAGACATTTCACTGGCCTTTTAAAATTTGTATTTTCCTTAATACTAATGATGTTCATCACCTTTACATTTTTTTATTGGCTATTTAGCCCCTTTTTTTAAAGTGCCTTGGTTTTTGCCCATTTTTATATTGGGTTGTTTGCTTCTCTCTGATTTGAAGAAATTGTAAGATTTCTTTAAATATTCAGAGTACTAATTTTGGGTTATTATATGTGTTGAAATTTTTTTCTTCTACTTTGTGGCTTGTCTTTCCACCCATTTGAAGTTTTGTGTTTGTGTTTTTTTTAAAGAGAAATTCTTAATTTTAATCTAGTCAAATTTATCATTTTTTTATTTTTGTGCTTTCTGAGTCTCATTTAAAAAGTCCTTTCCTTCTCAGAGGTCATTAATATACTTCCCTGTATCTTCTTCCAAACTTTTTATAGTCTCATCTTCCATATTTAGGCCCTTAATCCATCTGTAGCTGATTTTGTGCATCATTTGTGGTAGGCGTCCAATTTCAATTATTTTCCCATGAGAATTACTAACTGTCCCAGTTCCATTTATTGAAAGTCTGCCCTTTCCCGTATGATCTACAGTGCTTGCTATATCAAGTAATTAATGTTTTTATATGCATGGGTCTGTTCTCATGTATATACTCAAGTTTTGATGGTACAATTTATGTGAGCCTAAATTTGGTATCAAGAATCTCATTTTCATTAACATATCAAAGTGCTACATTTAACTTTGTATAATATGTTTTTATGATCTTTGTACTTTCACTCATTAGCCCAAATTTCTCTGATTAACCACGTCAAGAAAACCAAAACACAAAGGTTCCCTTATCTCTAACAACAACCTTGAACAAGCCCATTTCTAAATATTCCTGAGTCTCAGAATAGGCTATTAACATGAGTCATCTGAGTATTTAGTCCCTCTTTCCCAGTATTTAGCCTTCCATTCCAGATATTTAAACCCTATATCAGATAGAGCCTTTTTATCTCTTAAAGTTCTGCATGATTTATGTCCGTTATGTCATGCAATAAAAAAATTAAACACCAAGAATATTCATACCAAAAATTTTGTCTATTGAAGCATTTGAAGGTAATGTGCAATTAAACACAGTAAATTGTCTTTTTAAACGTTGTGGAATATCATTTCGACCACCTCCAGGGTGGATCATTGCTGCTATAAGCTGCACATCAACAATAGTAGTGAAGTCTCCAGGCTTATCCAAGCTATACATTCCTTCCATTTCCATCATCTGTCTCACAATCTCATTAGTTATCTGAAATTTACACAGTAATATTTTAGTACCATATCACTATTATATTCATCCACAGCTCCTATTAAATAGTACAGGTAAGATTAGAAGAAAACATTCACCTCTTATCAATGAAGTGTTTGGGAATGTTAACTTAAACGATGCCATGCATGATCTCTAAGCCCTAAGTTAAACATGTCTGATGCAAGTCCAATGTGCCCTTCAGCATAATGATAAAACTAATTTTCAAAGAAATTTAGAGAGGTGAGTTATGAGATATTTAGTACAACAGTACTCAGAGTTACAAGTTTTGCTATAGACATCCTTTAACACATCAAAATACTTTAGATCAGAATATAGAATGGTTTCAGTCCTGAGCCCTCAATATCATATTACTGAATGCTTTGGTATGGGGTTTTATCTTATGTTCTCTGTAGCTTCTGACACTGCTAACACTCTCCTTTAAAATTTTTCTTCTCTTGAGTTCAGAGGCTCACTTTTTCCCAGGTTCATTTCGTGTCTTCTGGGTCACTTTCCAAGCCACTCTTTATCCACCCATCCCTCACATGTAGCTGTTCTCCAGGGTTGCATTTTTGGCCCTTTTCTCTTCTCACTGTTCCAGGGGATGCCACCTCAACCCCATATCCTAAAGAATCTCAAGTCTGTAACTCTAACTTCAGATTCCCTTCAAGCTCCACACCTGTATATTCAAATTCCTATCAGGCATCTCCGAGTAAATGGCACAGAAGCACCTCAAATATAACACTCTTTCACTCAATCAACATTTAATGAATGACTACTGTCTGCCAGTCTCTCTTGTAGCATAGACAAAAATCCCTGTTGTCACAGAGCATACATTCTAATTATGGGAGACAAAAGGTACATATGCATGTTTGTATGCAAATAAAATGGTATAAGTCTTTCGGAGAAAATAAAGCAGAGAAAGGAAATAGGAGGTGCTCAGGAGTGCAACTGAATACGGAGAGCAGGGGAGGCTTCACTTCACATGACATGTAAGTCAAGATCTGAAGGAGGTGAGAAAACACACCATTTAGATATTTACGGGAAGAGCATTCTAGGCAGAGCAAACAGTGAACGCAGAGGCGCTGAGTAAACATCATACCAGCGTGTGCAAGGGTCATGGTAAGGATTTGGGCATTTATCTTCCATGAGTCTTGTTGGAGGATTTTGAGCAGAGGAATGTGTCATAATCTGACTCATGTTTTAATTGGTTGCTGAATTGAGAACAGACTGAGGGACAAAGGAAACAGGGAGACAATGAAGAGGCATTTGTAACAACCAACAAGAGAGATGGCAGTGGCTGGCAATGGAGCTGATGAGTAGTGGCCAAATTTTGAATATAACCTGTAGATAGAGCCAACACAATTTCCTGACAGATTGAACGTGGATCTGCTATCCTGAGGTAGAGAAGACTGTCAGAGGAACAAGTTTTGGACATGTTAAGTTTGAGATCCACAGAACCAATGATGAGTGAGTTGGATAAATGAGTCTGGACATCTCTAGTTGGATAAATGAGTGTGAATTCAGGAGCTCTTCAACTTATAGAAGGTAAGGATGGACCAGATCTAAACATGCCTCCACTCTCCCCACCTTCCAGGAACTGCTGAGGTCCATCCACCTTGGAGCAAAGAAGGGCCAAGCAGACCTGTTTGGGGATTCATCTCAGGATGACTGCTGAGCTTCTAGTGGTCACTGAGGTGAACAGGGATAAAGAGCAGGATGGTACTTGTCCCGATGGACTTATGGTAGATAGTGTTGATGAGGTAGTGTATGTTGGTGGGAAACGGGTGTTGGGGATCCCACCAGAAGCATGCCAAATTCTGGCAACATTGCTGATGTCCTCTAATGGGGAGTGATTCAGGTCGATCGATGATTACAACTAGGTTCATGGTGTGTGGCAGAATTTAAAAATAAATAAATGCATGCTTTTTTTAAACATCAGTTACTCCTCAAAGAGAGTATTAGAGTAAGAGGCTAGAGCAAGGCTGAAACTCTGGAGAAAGGCAGAAGCAAGAGAGAAAGACACCAAAGTCAAGGAGCCAAAGAGACTGGAGAGAGTCGTTGCAAAAAAATGTGCAGGGATTTTAAGAAGGGAGAATGCCAGCTACAACAGAGAAGTCATAAAAGACTGAGAATTGTTGCTAGACTTAATATCATGTAGGTCATGATACTGACGTTTTTATATATTACTAAAAATACTGATTAAGTACCATCTACATAAGATATTTTAATCATACCTGATCTCCCCACTCATTAATCACAGGCATATTAATATCATCAATAAATACAGTCATTTTTCTTCCTCCTGGCGGCCCATATGTGCTTCCCACTCGCTTGTCCACATAGCTCTCAATTGTTCTCTAGCAAAAAAGAAATAGTTTGTCTTAGGCATCAGATTTTAATCCATATCTCTAAAATGATGAGCATATTTCCAGAGCAGAATATAATTTATGTATTTAATAACTATATTATTAAATATTTACTGTTACATTTTTAAAAATAAGTTATTGGAATGTTAATCATTCATTTATATTAAAATAGATATGCTCCAAAGTTCAACTTTAGCCTCAATAGTAAGCCAAAATATGCTATTTGGGTTTGGCTTCAACCTCAGCCTTTGGAAGGTTAAGTAGCTGAGTGCCAACCGCAGCACCATTTCTTCTGAGATATATACACATATTATACATTTATTACAATATTTTATATGCATACACATTGTATTATAACCACCACGTTAGAAATTTAATATGTTTATTCCCATAGCAAATGGTGGATTTTACCTGAAACATCATTGGTTCTGTGGCAGATGAAAAGTTTAGACTTTTGGATAGCTGTACTTCAGGATCATATTTTTTCAAATAGGCCTTAATCATTACAGTTTTTGCAGTTCCCTGCTCTCCTGTGAGCAAAACAGCCTGCAAAATCACAGGATAATTATGTTGAAGACTGTTATAACATGCTTAGTTTCAAACATCTTCTGGTTCTACTGACTATTCTTGCATTCTATAAATTAATACAACCAACTTTAAATTACTTTTTAGAATTACACCAACATTAAAATAAATCCTAAAGATTTAAATGTAAAATGTATACTATAAAAGGGCTGGAAGAAAATATGGTTGAATATTCAAGTGACCATGGGAGAATGAAAGAGACTTTGTAAGCAGACACCCGCTTTCCTTACCAAGTGGGCAGTCAGCACCTAAGGGAATGAGTTGTATCCTGGGACCTGGGATTCATTTGCCAAAAATGTCTCCCTCAAATGACAATACCTCTAGGCCTTTATGTTGTTGTTTAATTTTTTCTATCTGTAGTATGTGAAAAGGGATGTGTTTCTTACATGGTTTGTGATCATCCAAGAAACTATCTATTAAACTTACTTTGTTTTGTTTTGCAATGGTGTCTATCAAAAAATTTGTTCGAATATTGTCAACATTTGGAACCAAAATTGATGAATATTCTGGAATACTGTCAGTCGGATAATAATATGGCTGAAGTTTCTTATTCCAGTGCTCCCAATCACCTATACAATGAGTAAAATTTCATCTTAATAAAACTGAATTTTTCAAAAGTTATCTCAGAATACAATAGAACCACATAAACAGTTAAAACATTTTCCTAAAACATGTTAATATTCTGCTTATCTAATATTTGTGGTATTTATAATTTAAATTTGTTTGGCCTCTTTATAAAGTTAGTTTTAAATTGCTAAGTCGTTCATCTAGAGAGACCTGGTCTGAAATGGAATTAGAGTCAGCAGGTGGTAAAACCAGCGACATGATTGGTATCTTACAGGAAAGCTTCATCAACTGAAAGGATGGGGAAGACCAAAAAAAGGGACAAGAGATAACTGGATATAGAATGTTTGCCATGAAAAATGGGAAAAACAAACCTGGCCCCAAAAGTGTAGTACAGTAGGATAATGCCTGGACTCCTGACTTACCGTAACTACTAATTTACTGATTGATATTATTGTGATAATAATTATTACCACACTTCATACATTCTAAGAAAAAAAATTTATTTACATTTTAGCATCTCTGGATGTCTTACAACCTATGATGCCTTACAACTGCTGTGGCCTAGGCAAATTTGATCTGAGCTGTTCCTGTTGTTGCCATTTAAACTGAATTACTTTCATTGTTGGTATTGCATTGTTGAGTTTAACTGCTATTTTAAATGTTTTCCAAAACATTACACAATGACTCAGGATTGTACCAAAAAAGTTACTGTGTACACAAAATTTGTAGAAAGAAAGCATACAAAGAATATTAACAAAGCAAATATTTATCATTGGAGTAATAACCTCTATTTCATGTTTTCATTTTTTCATGAGTTCATTTTTGCGGACAGTGTAACAGTCAGGTTATTTTTTATTTTTTATTTTTTTCATTTGGACAGTCTAGCACTACTGGTTGAAAAGACAATCTTTTTCCTCATTTAATTACGTTGACACCTTTGTCAAAAATCAGCTGATCTGTATATGTGTGGGTCTATTTCTGAACTCTATGCTATTCCACTGATCTATATATATTTATCCTTACACCAATACCACACTATGTCGATTACTATAGCTTTCTTGTTAGCCTTGAAATCAGGTTGTGTGAGTGCTCCAACTTTGCTTTTTAAAAATTGATTTGGTTATTCTAGATCACTTAGCACTTCCACATAAATTTTAGAATTTATTTCTAAATTTCCACAACAATGAAAACCTACTAAGATTTTCACTGTTATTGCACTCAATCCATAGATCAATCTGGACAGAAATAACACCTTAACAATATTGAGTCTTCTGATCCATAAGCATTATTTATCTGTCCACTTATTTAGGGCTTCCTGAATTTCTCTCAGCACAGTTTTTTATTTTCAATATACAGATCTTGCACATATTTTGTTTATCCCTAAGTATTTCATTTTTGGATGCTATCTTAAATGGTTTTTGCCCAAATTTCAATTTCCAATTGTTTGTTGAAGGCGCATAGAGATATAATTTATTAGAGTATATGGCTTTTTCATCCTGTGACCTTGCTAAACTCATTAACTAGTTCTAATACATTTTTTGAAGATTCCACAAATGGTCATGTCATCTGAAGATAAAGAGAGATTTATTTGTTCCTTACCAATCTATAAGTATTTGATTTTTTCCCCCTCTTATTGCAAGGCTAGAACCTCTAGTACAATATTGAATAGAAGTTGAATAGAGGTGAGAAAGACATCCTTGCCTTGCTTCTGATCTTTGAAAGTAAGCACTCTGTCTTTCACCACTGAGTATGTTAGCTGTAGGTTTTTTTGTAGGTGTTTTTATCAAAATGATAAAGTTCCTATTCCTAGTTTACTGAGAGTTTCCTCAAGAAAAGGTGTTAAATTTTGTCAAAAGCTTTTTCTTCATCTATTTAGATGCCTGTAAGATATGTTTGGCTTCTAGTATAATATAGTAAACTATATTTATCAGTTTTAGAATGTTAATCAAACCTTCCATTCCTAGAATAAAAGCCCACTTGGACTTAATATGTTATACTTTTTATAAACTATTGTATTGGATATGTTAAAATTGTATTAATAAATTTGAGTCAATGTTCCTGGGGGATATTGGTCTATAAGTTTTCTGGCAATGTCTTTCTCTAATTTTGGTATCAGGGTAACAATGTCCTTATAAAACAAGTTGGGCTGTGTTTCTTTTTATTATAAATTCTATATATTTTCAAAAACTTTGTGTATAATTGGTATTATTTCTTCCTTAATTATTTGGGAGAATTCACCAGTGAAGATATCTGGCCTGGAGTTTTCTTTGTGGGAAGGTTTTTAACTGAAAATTCAATTTCTTTAAGAGATAAAGGGCTACTTAGGATACCTATTTTTCTTTTTTTATTTTATTTTTTATTTTATTATAAACTAACAATTTATAATTGTATATATTTATGGGGTACAAAGTGATTTTATGACTTACAAATATAATGTAGAATAATTAAATCAGGCTAATCAACATATCAATCACCCCAAATACTTATTTTTTGTGGTGAGAACATTTGAAATTTACTCTCTTAGCAATTTTGAAATGTACAATACACTATTATTAACTATATTCATCACAATGTGCAATATCTTTTTCTTCTTGATGATATATGGTAGTTTGTATCTTTCAAGAAATTTATCCATTTTATCTACATTGTCAAACATATTTTTGTAAAATTGTTTCTAATATTCATTTCTTGTTTTTTAATGTTTGTAAGCTCTGTAGTAATGTCCCCTCTTTCACTCTTGACAATGATATTTCATATCTCATAGAAAAAAAGGATGAATGAAGGATGACCTAATGAAGGACTGGCTAGAAGTCATCTGGAATAGATAGATTAGAGCCCAATATAACCACTAAGTATGTAACATTCTGGTTCATTTCATGGGCTCATATGTCCAGGCAAATAAATTTCATCAAAAGTAGCTATTTAGGGAAGCTAGACTGGATGCCTGCAATCCCTCAACATTTTAGTCAACAAACTATCTTGGGACCTCCTTGAAGAAAAAATGAGAGTCTAGATAGTTGTCAACCTTTTGTTGACATCTCCAATAAAACCAAGAAAGCACCACCATCTAAACTTATTGAACCAGTGCTAGCTACATGGAAGAAAATGCCAGTGGACCACTTTTTAAAGAAATGTAGCAATTACAGAGGAAAGTGATTATTTAATTGGCGTCATTATTGGGTGCCATCTCAATCCCCTAACCATGGCTGCATCAGGGATGAAAAATTGCTGCTGATGAATCTTCACTTTCTGAATAATTTGGTGCCTGGCCTCTGATTAAGAACAACATGTTCAGAGGGAAGTGCCAGAACCTTCAAACATGACAGAATTGTGGGTTGCTTAGAAGGCAGCTTTCTGGAGGAGTTCGGCTCTGGATTCTGAGAAAATTCATATCGAGAGTTCAGGATTCATTTAATTGTTAGTTTACATTTTGAGTTAGAGTTTCCTTTTGTCATCTCAAACCTGCAGAAGCATCTAATCACAGGCTGTAGAATTATTGGTCATTCTGGTTAAAGATTGCCAGCTGAAAAAATTTATTTCTCTCAGTCTCTTCATAAAGGCCCTTTCAAACACAAACTTTCACTTAATCCCCATTTTCAGTATGATTCTCCCACCCTCAAATGTGCCTGGTGTCCCCCAAGTCTAGAAAACCCTCTGTTTTACACTCTCCAAACAATAATGCTTCAGTCTTTTGCCAGTGCAGGGTAGGTGCAGTTGTAGCAGCAGGGCTTTGAAAGAGGACCAGAAGGTCTTTTTCTTAAACAGACCTACAATCGGCCCTCTGGTTGTGAAATCCACTTTTCCAGTTTCCAGTTCCTGAGTCCTTTGAAAGTTTTGTGATGTACTCTGAATTGCTACTCAACTCTTCCCACTGCCAGTTTAGAATTTACCTTTGCCCGGTGTTAAATCGATTGCAACTTTTCTGCTTTCTTCCTTTCAAAATTTTGCTATTGCTGTCTTGTCTCCCATTTTGTTTATACATTAAAGCCAAAAAAAAAAAAAAAAAGAAAAGAAAAAGAAACCTTTGCTGTTTTAGAGACTTTAGGAGGAATCAGAGATAAATACAGGTTTTAGGAAGCATGGTTTTTCCTCTCTGGGGTTTAGAAGATTTAGAGCCTGGGCTCTGGATAAAAGCAACAAATTCAAGGGCATTTCTTTTAAAAAGAGGTGAGCTGGCCCTGCCACACATGAAGGGCTGGGTACTCAGGTGACAGCACTGGACCTGACGAGTCTGGTGCTACATGTAAGTAGGGATCCTACATGTAAGTAGGATCCCTCCTGCTTGGTTAATTCTCTACTCATTCTGACATCTCCAACAGGGAAGCTGTGGGACTGATCTGTTACATGCATTATCATGCTTTGCATCGTGAAGAATTTGTGTTCTCTACACTGCTACCTTTACTCTTTAAGCATTAGAGAGCAGACAATGTAAGAGCTATTGCTAACTTATTTATGCCAGATTTTACTTAGTCCACTCCCAATGGAGGAGAAGTCAGGAGTCTCTATTCCAGTTCTTGGTATGGCTAATGTGCAAAATTCTAGAATCTTTCACAAATATGCCCTTTTAAAATGTTATCAACAATTATGTTTTTCATAACTGGTTTAACGTTTCCCCATAGAAGAGTTCATGGAAGTTTATATTCTTTCCATTAAAAAAAAAGTCATTTCACTTAAGGTATAATTCAGTGTGCTTACCATAATCAGTAACATAAAACTCATACATGGTTTGATTCGTGCCTTTAGGTATATCTGGTAAGTCTAACTTGCTTTCATGTTGTCGTAAGAAGGCTTCAAGCCTTTCTCTGTTTTCCAGTTCCAGAAGGGCTCCTAAACTCCACATTAGGCCAAATACAAATAATTTATGAAGATGTTCAACACATGAAATACCACCTTCTTCTTTGGAGGGAATTAAACCTTCCAGAAGATTGAGAGACTGAAAAAAATTTAAATAAAATAAATTTTTTAATTAAAAAGTTTTTACTAATAATAAAATTAAAAGGAAGCAGGAAAGAGAGAAGAAAACAAATATATCTCAAGATATTGCTTGATCACTGTCCTAATGCCAACAGCACTTAGAAGGAAGGCCATCCTGCTTTAGACAGGCTGCATAGTCTAGCAGAAAGGATGCTGAACTGGGAACTAGAAGTGTGGTTCTACCCCTAGTTCATGCCACTAACCTCTTTGAGTCTCAGTTTCCTAATATGAAAAGCTAAAGGCCTAGCTAGGCCAGATGCTTTCTAAGGTAGCTTCTGATTTTAAAGTTTGGTTATCCAAATTTTCCAGATCAAAGATATTATTTCTTTTTAACATTTTGCAAGACTTAGCAAACTGCAGCCCCAGGGGCTAGCCACCTGTTTGGTAAACAAAGTTTTAGTGGAACACAGTCACACTCATTCATTTCTTCATTGTCTCTAGCTGCTTTTGTGCTACAACAGCAAAGCTGAGTGGCTGAGACAGAGCATTGTGCAAAAGCCTAAAATATTTGCTATATGGCCCTTTAAGAAAATACAGCATCAAAAAGAAATATATACTACAATAAGACATCCTCAAAACAAAATTATCTCGATACAATTTTCTCTTATATTATGTATTTAAAGGTAATATAATAATTCATTGCTTTGGGCCTTACATATTATTTCTAACCTATCCACCCTCACCGACTTGCCCCCACACTGGGAATCAAAGCACTAGAATGGATAATGAGAGAGCACCTAGAAATTACAATTAGGAGACTCCTTAAAAATCTATTACTTGTTCTGTTTTTTCCAAAACTAGTAAGGAAAACTGAGTATGGAAAAAAAATACTACAAATTACTTTTCAGGGGATTTTTGTTTAAAGGTTTTCCCTGTCTGATATGTTTTAAATTTGCAAAGCCAAGATTGCCAGCCAATTTTTCCTGATTGTCACAAGCTTCTTTTTGTACTTTTCTGTAAAACTGCTATTATTTTGTCTTTCTGAGACAGGTTACTAAACTTGACAGTAAGAAAGGGAGTTTATTATTCCTCCCCTGACAACAGCACTCTAGGAAGTAAAATAATAAAGAAAGGACAGTAAAATCATTAATAAGATCTTAATAGGAATCAAAATTCTGAGCGCTTTCACAGCCACAATATAAAAAGATTTCTACGGACTGCATGAATTTTTTATTTTAGATGTCTGTAAGCTGCAACTGAGTGAGGGAAAAAAATCTCAAAATCAAAGTAGTGAATGTACAAAAAAAAAAAAAATCTTACTTGCATAATATAGTTGCACTCTAAGAGCTGCATTTTGGGACTGAGGTTTAGTTTCATAAATGTATATGTATCTTCAAATGCTTTATCATACAGACTCAGGAATATAGTACTTTCCTGTGCAGTGCGCTTCTTCAACCATGCCTGCAGCAAAGAAACAGAATCTCTGCTTATTAAGAAAGTGAAACATGGAAAGACACTGAGCATACTTCTGCACATCCATCTTCCCCACCTGCAATATTGGCCTCCAGCTGAGAGCAGAACTGCTGATATAGACCATGCCCATCCTGGAAACTGTGGCAGGAGAGGCATTCTCAATATTGTGGACTTCAAACAAAAGTTTACAATTAGGGGCCATGGGAATGCGATCTCCATTAGCTAATGTGAGAGTTTTATTGTCGTCCAACACAGAATTTAAGTTCTCAATCCAAATGGCATCCACAGGGCCATCTAAAATGAGGAAAATGTTTTCACCTGCAAATAATTAAAACAGAAAATCACTTTTCATCAGCAAAAAATTAAAACAAAAAAACCCTTGGCGGGAGCGCAACCACGCTTCCCAAGCGGCGCACTAGCGCAGTGCGCCACCGGGCCAGCCCCAAAACAAAAAATATCACTTTTCATCAGCAAAAAATTAAAACAAAAAAATTTTTAAATGTTGTCTTATTAATAAACTGGCAGGAAAAAATGATCACAAAGGAGGGTTTGTGTATACCTTTTTTAGCTTTTAATGTTTTTCTCCACAGAGTAGAAAAAATCCCATCTGTCCAGTCGTTGGTAGCAGTGTCCAGTCTGCCAAACATCTGAGGCGCAGTAATAGCTTTTGGATTCATTCGCATTTCTCTATGAGGCCTTCCACATTCGGTTAATGCCTTCATGAGAATTGTTATAACCGTTGTCTTCCCAGAACCACTGGGCCCAAGAGTCATCAAGCCATGGCGTACCAGAGACGTCTCATATAGCTACACATTTAAATGATAAATTGAAAAGCGCAAGTCATGAGTCTCATGCTGCCATTCATAGTAGTTAGCTGAAAATTACAGGCCTTTAAATAAGCTCTTCATTAAAGTAACCAATTCACCAAGATGTAAAAATGTTTTTTGCTTTACTAGATGTGGAAAGCAAATTAGCACCACATTATAAAATGATATAAGTGATGAAGTACGAGAATGTGAAAATTGAGTTATATTTTGGAAATAATTAATTGAGAATCTTGTTTTTGCTTCTCAAACTACCATTCCTTGTGATTTTGGTTTGCTGATAGGTTAACCAGCAGTTTTTCTACCGCAAACTTTGCATCCAATGTGACGATGTCGCCCCTTAGTGGGGAAAAGCAGCAACACAAAGCATCCCAGTGAAGACCCAAGTTTCACATGGGTCTTCTGGTTCTCCAGAAGTACCTCCTGAAAGAGGATTTGTGTGCAAGTGATTTATCCAGGGAGCGCTCCCAAGAGAAGTCGATGAGGGAGTGGGGGAAACAACACAGCAATGGGAAGAAGCCAAACAAGGTGTGACAGAGGACAAAGTCCTGCAGAGGGCAGACGTAAGCCTGATCCTGCAGGGGACTCAGTGACTGGAAGCAGGGAAGCTTGACTTTCCTACTCCATCATCCATTAACCAAGGAGAGGCTGGTTTGGGGGTGGGTGAGAAATAATCTCCCAGGTGTTTGGGAGTTTGTGCCTGCCAGAAAAGTGGCTACAGTCCTCCTTTTGCTCTTAGAAGCAAAAGTACCTGGAAGCTGGGGAGGTGGCACGTGGAAATGGTAACAGGATTCAAGGAGACATACTATACAAGTATGGGCAGTGTCTGTTACAACATCCTGTCTATAGTTTTCTTAATCAAAATAAGAAGCCAGAGGTCTCACAGCTGATTAGAGGTAGAATCTGAGTTATTCTCCTAACATTTTGGATAGAAATGTATTAGTACTGTGACCTGTAGTTTAAGAGCAACAGACACTAGCCACAACATTACATTCAAGAGTAATGTTATCGACTTCGACAAAAAACATAATATTCTAGTCCCCACCCATTGAAATGACTAGGATTTTCATATTCAGTATACTGTATGCATATCATATGTGAAATAATGTTTTCCCAGAAAATTTCTTAAAACACACATTTTGGGGGCCGAGCCCGTGGCGCACTCGGGAGAGTGCGGCGCTGGGAGCGCAGGAGCGCTCCCGCCGTGGGTTTGGATCCTATATAGGGATGACCAGTGTGCTCACAGCGCTCACTGGCTGAGCGTGGTGCGGCCGGTCTCAAAAAGGACAAAAAAATAAAATAAAATAAATTTAAAAATTTAAAAAAAACAAATTTTGGTTTCCAACACATGAATGATGAAAAATACTCAAAAATTTCCCCAAATAGTTTTTGTAAGATTTGGATATGTGTCATGTACTTGCACACCTTTTAAACTGGCAAGGACAGTAAGTTAAGAATTATTAGTTTTCAAATGTTTTTAACACGCTCCACAATGTCAGTTCCTTCATTTTCCAAAAGCCCTGGAGAATGCCCTCAAAGCATCAAGCACACAGAGATTTAATCCTGATTGTCTGCGAAACAAGTGTTTGACTCTGCTGATAAAGTAGTTGGGTGGTTGTCACAAGGATAAAATGTGGTGGACACAAAGATACCAACAGATGCAGGCAAAGGATTCCAGTTTTAGTGCAGATGAAGGATACAACAGGTCCACACACACAGCAGGAGCAAAGTAACTCTCCCAGATTCCTCAGGCTCTGAGCCTCACTAAGGCACCAAGCTGTGGTCAATACTGCCAGACTGGGCAAGAAGCCAGTTCAGTTGTTCCATCTCACAGGATTTTATAACCTACTATCCCATCCCAACTGTTCTTGAGATTCTGGTTACTGTCCAGCCTTCTCACAGGGTGTAAGTAACAACCACAGTAAATTATTGCTTGTTTACTGTGAGCCAGGGCAAATTCATATTATCTCCCTATGGCAAAAACATCCCCATGAGAACTCTTCTTACAGTGATCTATATATGGTGTTTTTAAATTAAAACATTTTAGTTTCAACATTTACATCAAGTAATACTAAAATCATGAGTTCTTCTAATCAAATGGTGATTTTTAGCAACACACACTTATTGTTATACTGATAATAGATTTAAATTTTTTACCTGCACAAGTTTCAGGTTCCAGGGTGGATGGTTAATCAAACCTTCTTCCTGAACCTGGTTGGCTACTGCAGCTTGCAGTTCCACATAACTATTACTATCCAATTGTAATCCTGGAAACAGGTCATTGATTAAGCTGAGGAACAGGGGTTCATCTTCATCAACCTAGAGTGGCATAGGTTACAATACATTTACTCATTCAGTCAACAAACATTTATCATCTAGCTAGGATGTGCATAGCACTTACCACTTCATGCCCAGAGAATCTTTTATTACTCTCCCAATCAGACTGTGTCCTCTAGTACTTTCCCCTGAATATCACCACTAGATCCACATTGCACTCAAAGTTCCTTGCCATTCAATGTCTTCTACCATCCAGTGTCAGTCTACTGCTCCAAGGTTTGCCCTCATTACTTTATCATATGAATACTTGGCTTTTCACATTCTGGTATTCATATTAACCTCAACAATATGCAATTTATAGTCCCTACCCCATGAGAATAGAGTATAAAGATTTTGTTTAAATTAGGAAAATACCCATAACCCTGCATGACTTCATCCAACATTGGCTGGAAATTTTCATTAGAACAGTGTTCTGCCTTTCTTGTGAGCAGTAGGTTTGAGTCAACTGACTCCAATTCTTATTTGCTACATCTTTAAAACACAGATTGCCCCCATTCCCAACCTCTGATCCCTTCTAATTTCTCCTTATTCTCTCCAGGGCTTCTCTGCTGCTTTCTTGAATACTTATAGGAGTTTCAAGAATACCATTCTCTAAGAGTGGCAGTGATTGATATTTAGGAGCTGAAGCCCACCAGTGACCTGTTTTACAGCACACAACTGAGAAGAGGAGACATTTCCAGCCCACATTGGTCATACGGAGTATGGGTAATGGAGTTTTTTGTCTTCTTCTGGAAACACAGTGGTAGATTCCCACATCACTCTCCTTGCAATTATTAGTGCTCTTAGTTCATCATGAGCCAATACCCACTTGTTATCCAAATAGAAAAAAAATCAGGTCAAAATCTCAGAAAAGAATTTAATTCAGAGAAGAAAGATACCAATTTAGAAAGGTTCATATCTCTTAGTCCTCTCATGACAGTGCTTAATTCACTATCTTCTGGTCTGGCTCTTTTTTGAGATCCAAGTGTCCTCAATACAGATAGAATATTTCTCAACCCAAAATCATAATGAACCTAAGATGAGAAAAGAGGGAAAAAAGATTATTTAATTGAAAAACTCTAAACATAGGCTCACTCAACATATAAAGGTAGATATTCGGAAACTTTGCCATACTTTTGGAGTAATCGAGCTGCAAAGTTTTATTAGTTCAATTCTACAATGTTTCCTTTGACAGAAAAATGATTATTCCATTGGAAAAATCAAGTTTTATGATACAGTGTTCATACTTTAAATATCTTTTCAGTAATGCTAGGAGTAATGTAATACCTTTCAATAACCCTGAATGTAAATGGATTGTATTCCCTGCTTGAAAGATACAGACTGCCTGAATGAATTTAAAAAGTAGACACAGCTATATGCTCCCTACAAGAAACTTACTTCACCTGTAAAGACAAACACAGACTAATAGTGAAGGGATGGAAAAAGATATATGATATAAATGGAAACCAAAACCAAGCAGGAGTAGATACATTTTTATTGGATGAGATAACTTTAAATCAAAAACTATAAAAAGAAACAAGAAGGTCATTATATAATGATAAAGGGTTCAATTCAATGAGAGGATATAGCAATCATAAATATATATGCACCCAATACAAGAGCACTCAGATATATAAAGCAAATATTACTGGATCCAAAGAGAGAGATAGACACCCAATATGATAAGAGTTGAGGACTTCAACACCCCTCTCTCAGCACTGGACAGATAGATCATCTAGGCAACAAATCAGCATAGAAACACTGGATTTAAACTACACTTTAAACCAATTGGACCTGACAGACATTCACAGGACATTTCATCCAACAACTACAGCATATACATTCTTCTCATCAGGACATGGAACATTCTCCAGGTTGTTAGGCCACAGGTCAAGTCTCAACAAATTTTAAAAAACTGAAATCAGGGCCAGTCCATAGCTCACTCGAGAGTGTGTGGTGCTGATAACACCAAGGCCACGGGTTCAGATCCTTATACAGGGATGGCCGGTTAGCTCACTTGGGAGAGTGTGGGGCTGACAACACCAAGCCAAGGGTTAAGATCCCCTTACCAGTCATCTTTTTTTAAAAAAGAAAAAAAAAATTGAAATCATATCAAGTATCTTTTCAGACCACAACAGAATAAAACTAGAAATCAATAACAAGGAAAACTTTGGAAACTATACAAATACATGAAAATTAAATAACATGCTCCCAAATGACCAATGGGTCAAAGAAGAAATTAAGCATGAATTCAAAAAATTTCTTGAAACAAATTGAAATTAAAGCACATCATACCAAAACCTATGGGACACTGTAAAAGCAGTACTAAGAAAGAAGTTTACTACAGTAAATGCTTATATCTAAAGAACAGAAAAATTTCAAATAAACAATCTAATGTTACACTTCCAAGAACCAGAAAAACAAAAGCAATCCAATCTCAAAATTAGTAGATGGAAAGAAAAAAATAAAGATCAAAACAGAACTAAATAGAGACCAAAAAAAGATGCAAAAGATTGGTGAAGCAAAAAGTTATTTTGAGGAGACAAAATTAACAAACCATTACCTAAACTAAGAAAAGAAGAGAGAAGGACCAAATAAGAACCAGAAATGAAAAAGAAGACATTACAACTGATATTAAAGAAATACAAAGAATCATTAGAGACTATTAGGAACAACTATAAAAGAACAAATTTGAAAATCTGGAGAAAATGGATAAATTTCTGGATACCTACAACCTACCAAAACTGAACCAAGAAGAAACAAAAAACCCAAAGAGACCAATAATGAGCAATGAGGCTGAATCACTTACCAGCAGTCTCCCAACAAAGGAAAGCCCAGGACCAGATGGCTTCATCACCAAATTCTACCAAACTTTTAAAGAATTAATACCAATTAATTGATTAATACCAATTAATACCAACAGGTATTCTCCCAAACTAATCCTATGAGGGCAGTATCACCCTGATACCAAAATTAGACAAAGACACAAGAGAAAAACAAAACTACAGGGCAATATCCTTGAGGAACACACATGCAAAAATTCTGAACAAAATACGAGCAAACAGAATTCAACAGCACATCAAAAAGATTATACACCGTGATCAAGTGGTAATTATTCCAGGGATGCAAAGACGGTTCAATATATGCAAATCAATAAATATGATACTCCCCATCAACAAAATGAAGGACAAAAACCACACGATCATCTCAATTGATGCAGAAAGAGCATTTGACAAAATTTGACATCCCTTCATGATAAAAATTCTCAATTAATTAGGTATAGAAGGAATTATCTCAACACAATAAAAGTCACATATGACAAACCCACAGCTAACATCATCATGAATGGGGAAAAGCTAAAAGCTTTTCCTCTAAGAACAGAAACAAGAAAAGGATGTCCACTCTTACCACTGCTATTTAACATAGTATTGGAAGTTCTAATCACAGCAATTAGGCAAGGGAAAGAAACAAAGGGAATCCAAATTGAAAAAGATGAAGTCAAATTGTCCCTGTTTGCAGATGACATGATCCTATATATAGAAAAGACTAAAGACTACAAAATCAATATACAAAAATCAGTAGCATTTCTATACACTGACAAACTTGCAGAAAAAGAAACCAAGAAAGCAAGCCCATTTGTAACAGCTACAACCACAATAAGAAATACCTAGGAATAAATCTAATCAAGGAGGTGAAAGATCTCTACAATGAAAACTACAAAACACTAATGAAAGTAATTAAAGAGGACAAAAAAAAAAAAAAAGGAAAGACATTCCATGCTCATGGATTGGAAGAATTAATGTGAAAATGTCTATTCTACCCAAAGTGATCTATAGATTCAATGCAATCCCCATCAAAATACTAATGACATTCTTCACAGAAATAGAAAAAACAATCCTAACATTCATATGGAACAACAAAACCACCAAATAGCCAAAGCAATCCTGAGCAAAAAAATAAACCAGAAGTATTACACTGTCTGACTTCAAAATATACTACAAAGCTATCGTACCTAAATCACCATTGTACTAGCATAAAAACAGACACATGGATCAATGAAACAGAAGAGAGAATCCTGAAATTCATTCACATATTTACAACAACTAATCTTTCACAAAGGTGTCAAGAACATATATTGCGGAAAGGACAGCCTCTTCAATAAATGGTGCTAGGAAAACTAAATATCCATGTGTAGAAGAATGAAACTAGACTCCTATTTCTCACCATATACCAAAATCAGCTCAAAATTGATTAAAGACTTAAATATAAGACGTGAAACTATAAAATTCCTAGAAGAAAACATACAGGAAACATTTCAGGATGTAGGATTGGGCAAAGACTTTATGAAAAAGACCTCAAAAGCACAGGCAACAAAAGAAAAAAAATGGGACTATATGAAACTTAAAACTTCTTCACAGCAAAGGAAACAATCAACAGGCTGAAAAGACAACCTACAGAATGCGAGAAAATATTGTAAACTATACATCCATCAAGGGATTAATATCCAGAATATACAAGGAGCTCAAAGAACTTTACAGTATTCACAGCAAAGGAAACAATCAACAGGCTGAAAAGACAACCTACAGAATGCGAGAAAATATTTGTAAACTATACATCCATCAAGGGATTAATATCCAGAATATACAAGGAGCTCAAAGAACTTTACAGTAAAAAAAAAAAACCTGATTAAAAAATGGGCAAAGGAGCTGAATAGACATTTCTCAAAGGAAAACATATGAATGGCCAACAGATAACATGAAAAAATGCTCAACATCACTAAACATCAGGCAAATACAAATCAACACCAGCCTGAGATATCATCTCACCCCAGTTATACTGGCTATTATCAAAAAGACAGAGAATAACAAAATGCTGGTGAGGACGCGGAGAAATAGGAACCCTTCTGCACGGTTGGTGGGACTGTAAATTAGTGCAGCCATTATGGAAAACAACATGAAGTTTTCTCAAACAACTACAGACAGAACTACCATATTATCCAGCAATCTCACTGATGGGTATATACCCAAAGGAATGGAAATCATTATGTCAAAGGGATACCTGCACTCCCATGTTTATCACAGCTCTATCCACAATAGCTAAGATACAGAACCAATGTAAATGTCCATCAATGGACAACTAGATAAAGAAAATGTTGTATATATACACAATGGAATACTACTGAGCCATAAAAAAAGAATGAAATTCTGCCATTAGTAGCAGCATGGATGAACTTGGAGAAAGTTATGTTAAGTGAAATAATCCAGACACAGAATGAGAAATACTGCATGTTCTCACTCATAATTGGGAGCTAAAATATACAAATTAATTAAATAAATAAACAATAATACTAAGTTGAACTTTCAGAAGGAGAGAGCAGAACTGTGGTTACTAGAGGTGGGAAGGGGGCAAGGGTGGATAGTGAGAAGTTGGTTAATGGACACAAACAAGCCACATAGGAAAAATAAGTTCTATTGGTGAACTATAGGCATCTATAATTAATAATAATTTACTGCATGTTATCAAATGACTAGAAGAGAGGAGATCGAATGTCCTCATCACAAAGAAATGATTAAGTGTTCTAATGAGGAGTATGCTAATTACCCTGATTTGGTCATCACACATTGTATACATGTATTGAAATATAAATCTCTGCCCCACAAATATGTAAAATCAATACGTTTAAATTTTAAAAATCTTTCAAGAATGATACAGTCTGAGTGACAGATTTTAAATGCATAACCAACAGGTTACATACTATATGATTCCACATATATAACATTCTTGAAATAAAATGAAAGAAATAGAGAAAAAATTAGTGGCTGCAATGGGTTAGGAATTTGAGAGAGAGATGGATGTGGCTATAAAGAGATAGTGTGAGGGAACCTTGTGGTGATGAACAGTTTCCTATCTTCACTGTGGCAGTGGTTACACAAACCTATACATGTGACATAATTCCACAGAAACACACACACACACACATACAAGTGCATGTATAATTGGTGAAACCTTAATAAATTCTGTGGATTGTACCAGTATCAATTTTCTGGTTTTGTTATTGTACTATAGTTACAAGATATCAACATTGAAGGAGGCAGGGTAAAGGGTATACAGCTCCTGTACATTTCTTTGCAACTTCCTGTGAATCTTATTGTAAAATGAATAAAATTATTTCAAAATAAAAAGGTTCTAAAAATATGTAACCAATATATATAATATGCATAATCAAATTAATTGTAAATACATTTTAGAAGAGAGTCAATGAGGTTTTTTTAACTGACTGATTAGTATCTATCAAGGAAAAATTGCAAACTGAAAAACCAAATTCTATAACTAGGGGAACAACAGATATATAAAGTTACCTGTTTAGTAAGTTGCTCTTCACAGAGTTTGTAAAGAACATAAAACTTTTGAGCCAAGACAACATTTTCAAGAAAACCACAGCTTGCAAGTTTAACTCGCATAATGATCTGAAAATTAACACAGTGAGATTTTTCAACAACTTTAGTGAAAAATAGGTAAAGAACATAAATAATAGTATGCTTTTAAATCCTGGTGCATACCTGTCTGTCAGGAACCATCATAGCAACAGTTCTAAACTGGATTTTTAAGTTTTCTGGTAGTTCCTGGCGCCCAGCATATCCAGGGTTCTAAAAGTTAAAATATATTTAATTTGTAGTTGTTAATATAATTTTCATCTCCTGTATACAAATACATTTCAAACACCTAGCTCAGATTCTAAGGTGGTACTGAAAAATATTAGATTCATAAAATGTTCTTGCTTTCTCAAAAATGTGTGCTGGTAGTTCCTGGCGCCCAGCATATCCAGGGTTCTAAAAGTTAAAATATATTTAATTTGTAATTGTTAATATAATTTTCATCTCCTGTATACAAATACATTTCAAACACTTAGCTCAGATTCTAAGGTGGTACTGAAAAATATTAGATTCATAAAATGTTCTTGCTTTCTCAAAAATGTGTACTGGACCATCCATATTTATTAATGTCCACATCACTCCTTTTTATATACTTCCATTTTCATTATATTAATAAAGTCACACACAAAATTTTGTGTAGCAAATATTAAGCATCTCTGTGTCTATTGATTTAAAATATTGAAAAGAAAATGGAAGAATAAAAGAGAAAACCGAATAATAACCTGGTTAATTATAGTCTAAAATATTTTATAGAAAGAGAGAAAAAGTTCAGGATTTTATACTGATCAGCTTACTTAGGTATTTTTATTTAATCTCTTCAATTATTCTTTACAGTCATAGTTATAGAGTTCTTTGGCTGACAAAGTGCCATTAGGGGGAAAAAAACCCAACATTTGAGTGAGGGATAATAAAGAAGGGAATGATGAGAAAAACATTGAAAAGGACAGAAGTAGATGAGGAAAGGAAACTTAGACCTTATAAGTATCAATAGCTCCGAGATAGGTCAGACCCAAAAGTCCCAAAGGAAAGGTTGAGGTTCCAAGACAAGTAAGGCAAATAGAGGTCAGTTATGTTAGGAAAGTTCATTAAGAAAACTTCAGTCCCTGAACATTCATGGGGCACTGTCAATAGGCTAGATACCTTGCTAGGTTCTAGAAATATAGAGATTGCTGGTAAATCTCAGAACCCCAGCTGCAAGCTGGATATCACCACTGCAGATTACAGACTACATTTCCTAGCCTGACTTGCAGCTGGTATGATTAAATTCTATAAAGTGAGATCCAAAGGGAAACTGAAATATCCTTGATGTCTGTGTGAAGGGAGTTGACTCAATCAACTGGCTGCAACAAAATAGAGATGATTTCTGGAGCATCTTGGGTCATAAGGTGGCCCTAAAGATGGAAACCGTAATGGAGCAGAAACATTCTTAAGAGAATAAATCCTTACATGTGAAGCTATTTTTCTTGTGTCTCAGTTGTTCACAGCTTAATGCAATATCTAATTTATATTTCCAATATTATTCTTAATCCAGGGAGAATGTTAAGCTGCTTTTATATTCTTCTAGGCCATAGTTTCACACTGAGTATCTGTCTCCATCTCCTTTCCTGAGTTATAACTGACCACTACTGGATTATTATTATTTCCCCATAACTGCCTTACTGGATGTTTGCTTATAATAAAACTTACCAGAATTTTTTCTGATTTTGCTTCTTGTAATTTATCTTTGTTTACTGAGACATTTAAAACTGAGTATTTTGTGTTACCTTGCAACTCAGAGATTTAACTTTACAGATAAAACATACACACATTGGGCCGGCCCGGTGGCACACTGGATAGTGCGCTGCTTGGGAAGCGCGGCGGCGCTCCC